TCATGGACCAGTCGCTGCTTGCACCCTCGCGGAAGTCGACAGTGTAGCTGCTTGCCGTCAGGCCAGCATCAGACGGACATGTCTCTAGAAAAGAACGTGTGAGTGGCGTGTCCATGTCGAGACTCATCGCGTGCGTGAACGAGTGATATCAAACATACTCTCGGTTGGGTTGCACGACGTCGAGGTCTGGCCTGCTGCCATGGACACGAGCGAGGCACCCACGGCAGCCAGAGTCTGAACAGAACGCATCTTGCAGTACGATGTGGATAGACGGAAACAGCAAAGTGTTTTGCGGTAGAGAAACCAGAAACGAGCGCCTTGTTTGGCCTGGGTTGCGTGGAAAGAAGAAAAAAGAAGCCGAGTAAACGAGAGTACGTTCCTGGAAGGAAACACAAAAGCTGGCTGACCCAGGAGCAAGAAAGAAAAGCAAAGCAGACAAGAGACAAGCAAGGCCAACAGAGCTCAAGAGATATCTCGACTTTCACACAACCTGGATGGCCCAGCATCAACAACAGACGACGGCCCTGGCCCAGCATTTATGTCAAACTGGAGACGGGGGTGGCTGGAGGCCCGCCCTCTCGTGCAGCGCTCGCTGGCCTGCGACGGACTCTGCTACGCACCTGGCGACTGCTTGCGCCCATCGACTCGCCAGGGCTCGTCCAAAGGACTGTCTGGGTGGTGTGGGTCTCGATGGAGAATGCAACGAGGGTCGCATCCAGCTTCTCGGCAAAGACTCCCCCCCGGCTCCCTCAGGTCGCTCAGGGGCGCCCACTCCCGCGACAACGTCAACCCAGACAGCAGCCTCATCGTGCCCGTCTTGGGGGCCGTCAGGTCCAGTTTTCCTGCGGCCAGACGGCCACTCAACTGGCGAGCACTGCGCCGCGCTCACACACAGCACCACGACTCCATAAATAACCACTCCGAGCTGGCCGGACAGGGAACAACGGCTTCGCAGTCGACACACGACACACGACACACACCGCGGAGCTACTCGTATGCCAGCATGGGTCAGGCTGGCAGTGCCAGTCTTGCGTGGTCTTGTCCAAGCTGCGAGGAGAAGGTTGCGCATGATTGATTCGTGTCGCCAGGCCGCCAAACGGCAAATTACCCCTGACACTATAAGCGCCACTTTGCACTTGAGCCTCCTGCAAGGGGTCCTGTCACTTATCAGCCTGCTCGGGCGCTTGGGACGGCCTTGCGGTTGGAAACACCAGTGTGGGGGTCCTGTTCGTCCTACACTCTCGCGCGCGCACGTTGACTCCCTCCCTTCACTCACGCTTGCCGTCGCCAGCCAACCACATGGACGTCGGGAGGACACGACGGGACGGCCGTCTGGGGGGGGAGGCCTGCCCACGCATTTCACGAGGGGAAGAAGCTGACAGCTGGGCTGCCGCTGTTGCTGAAGAATGCGCTGGTGAAGGTACTCTGTGCCATCCTGTCCGACCTCGTCCAGGCCCGAAAAGGCCGGTCTCTTCGGCTGTTGTGGGCAAATCCGTCTTACAGCATGCTGACTGACTGGGCTGCAAATAGCATGCGACAATGCTGCCGTCGGTTTGCGCAGCGTCTGTGCAATTTCACCCCATGCATTTCTGCATCCTCTGTTCTGCCCTCAGACTGCCCCTGTCTGGACTCTGAGCGGCCGAGTCCTCTACGTACATGACTGACAGCGGCTTGGCACCGTGTGCGAGTCACGGACGTGTTTCGATCAGATCAATGGGCTAAAGAAAAGTGGTTCCTGGAAGGATGGCCTCCGACTCCCAGCTGTGTAAGCCAATTTGGATCGTGCATGAACGGGCTCGAGGACGGCCCAGAACCGGCCCTGGCCTCGTGCTGTCAGCCGCCTGATCTGACATTGCATGCTGTGAGCCGTGGTGGTTCGCAACACCAAGTTTGGAGCCTATCTGGTAGCCTCTTGACGAGGGATTGGCTCGCTGGCCCCTCTACAACGCCGGCTGACGAGCACCAGTAGCACCTTGGGCAAGCCGTCAAGACCGGGTCCGTGTTCAGCAACAAGTTTCGAGGCTACAGGGCCGTAGGGTTTGGGGCTGGAAGGGCGAGTTGATCCCAGTCTCGGCATGCCTGAGCCCGTGAAGCCATTGCACTCTCCACGCAACGGTCCGCGACACCGCTTCTCGGTAGCCTCGGCGCAGGCGATAAAGTATATCCAAAGGAAAAGGAGGCGAGCATTCGCAAGGACTCGCTAGTCCAATGGGTTGCACAAGCCAAAGCTGGTTGTTTGCAAAATCCATCACGATCAAATTGGCTGCCCAGTGTTGGACTGCAGTGGCTCCACGACCGTGATCCGTCACATTTAACCTCCAGACCGCCTACAGATAAACAGCGTTTGTAATTTCAGTCGTTGATTGTGCGTCGAGTAATCTGGCCTGCCCAAAAGTTCTCTCTTGGCGGCGTCTGTCCATAAGCATTCGCTTATGAGCATGAGCCCTTTCCGCCTCGACAACGTGCCACCGGAATGCATGCCAGCGGCAGACTGTTGCTGACCGGGAATGGACGCCCCATGTGACGTTTCCTTGGGGATCTTGGCTTCTCAAACTTTATGCATACAAAGAAGGATCCCCTCAGCCACACGCAATTTACCAATTCACTCTCGTCCAATGTGAAAAGTCCAGCCCTGGGAGGAGATGCTCGCAGGCCCCTCCAGCCGCTGCTGCTGTTTCTCTTGGTTCTGTATGGATCCGGCGTGAGTGGGCAGTGGTGTCGAGGGTGTTCACAAAGCACTCTTTTCGCTTACCATCGAAACTCTTTTGAGGTAATTACCAAGGAACCATGCGGGGAGGCTGTGGGCTGACTGCAAGAATAGCTGCTGCTTTGGAGCGGCGTTTGGCATCCGGCCGGCGCAGGATTTCATTGCTTTATGGTCATGTCATGTGGCGGGTGACAGACCCAAAGGGCTTTCTATATAGCTCCTCGTGCGCTTCACTTTGCTTTGGACAAGAGGCACAGGATTCCGAGGTTCTTCCGAGCCGTCATCTTACATGTGCCACTGTGTGCCATGAAAAATCAAGGACGCCTTTCTTCTTGTCTTGATCTTCATCTCCAAGATGGTGAAAAGCAGAAAGGTCGTTGAAGTTCTCACACGTCGTTGCGGACGAGATCCTCTCGCTCCAGATCACAACTCGAAACCAAGCTGTGTGTTTATGGGATGTAGCCACATGCTTTGCCCAAGTATCATAGATATCCTCAAAGCCAGCCTCTGGAATCTACTGCACAGTCTGTTTGCGGCTAGACAATGTTGGAGTCGTCCAATAAACATGTTTATTTTGACGAATTTGGATCCTCCATCCGCCCCATCTACCTTTCGCTACTTTTCAATGAAACTCTCAGCATCTCTTGTCTCGGAGACTGTGGTACGCCAGATTCTGCTCCGTGCTTCGGGACGGGGAACTTACTGTCATCGGGTCGGATGCTTGGTATACCGCTTCTGTGTTCGCATACATGGTCCATGTACTGATCCAGTCGCACATGGAGATGCTCGTCAGAGAATTGATACGTCCCAAAGCCCTCGTTCAGAGCCTCAGAGGCCCGAGTACTCCGGCTATCCAGCGCTTGGCCATTGCTTGTGGTAGAGTAGTGTACAAAGTTCGTCACGCCAGTGATGAAGCCTTGGTCACCGACTAGGTCGTGCTCCATGATAACAACGAAAATTCTTAGCTAGCGCCCATAGCCGTCATCACTGCCTGGACCCGGACAGGTCCAAATGTAAGCGTACGCCATTGAACCGGACTGCAGAAATCAAGTTTGAGGAATTGCCCAGGTAAAGACGCGCTTCATGAATCCTCAAGGTGTAGATGGACAAGTCCTTGTGCTCCTTGCGCATGCAGACGTAGAAGTCTTTGTCCATTAAATCACTGTTTCGCTACGCTAACAGAAGCATTTTGCGTGTATAGTTCCCGAGAATGGAGGTGACAAGACAAGAAAACGAGAGAAGGCTATGAGCGGCAAGTCGACTCTTGGAGAAAGGAGATTTCCCAATCAAACTTGCCGCCTATCATCGGATTGGCCAATGATATGGAAGCCAAACCTGCTGAAGGCTCGTGGCTGCGTTGGGTACGATGTAGAAGAGACCACAGAAAGATGTAAGCTGCCGCAATCTCTCAGAATGCGGTTGCAAGAATTGGATTTACATTTACGTGAGACATCTTCACGAAGCTATCATGAGCGTACTATGAGCATAGTCACCTCTCCACATAACTCAAAAGATTGACCGGACCGTCAGATCGAGTCGGCCTCTGGTGAGCCTGAGGTGATGGTGTATGCCATATGTGCAGATAGAAATAGTTCCGCTTCACTTCTCGAAGAAGACAGTCCGTCCGCAAACGAAGCCAACGGGCGTGTTCTCTCAAAAGATGACAGGGACTCGTGGATGAATGAATGCCATGGAAGGTATTCTGGACATGTTTTTCGAGCTCGTATGCTACACATATTTCTGCCATACAGTCCTTTTATAATCATTAGGGGTCCCAGTGACCCAACACAATGTTGCATTCTGTCAGAGCTCAACAAGCTCACTCGGAACCCCGTTCTTGGATCCTCGCGATACTAGTCGTGTGGGTCCTTGTAAACATCTAGAGTACCCGTGGTTACTCCAGGTCAAGGCGTTTCTCGGACTTGTCTGTATACTCCGATGCATGTGAGCGATACCTCTGGAATTCGCAAAGAAACGTATGCTTAGCGGCAGTTCTTAAGGGTGAATTTGAGGTCTCATATCGATGATACTGCGCCAAGCATCAGCGTTTGAAGTCATTGGTCATTGAACTTGAACCAGTCTCTCAGGCTCAGTATCGACTTGAAGGAAAAGCATTCTGCAGATTGTCTGCATGTAAGTGACCCGCTGCGGGTCTAGATTCAGAGCTATTTGCAGAATTTACGAGAGCCCCGCGTAGCCGTAGAATAGGAGCGCGCCGAGTCAGGAAACGGTGGAATCTTGCAAAAAGTCAGTGTCTTTTTACGACGAAAAGCAAGATCTGTTGAGAAGCAAAAGGTCGCGCTGAGAATCGAACTCAGATTACTGGAAATATTCGAGGTGGAATCAGAATCCAATGTGATAACCATTACACTACGCAACCGGGTGGTTTAACTGGGTGTTGGAAACACGGTTTTTCCAGGAACGTTATATAGATATTTTCCATAGGCCGTCCAAGTCACCACGTTCCAACGTCCGACCAATTCTTTGCTTCCATTATTTCCTCTCGTTTTCACACTGTAGCCGCTCCATATATGCCCTTCTCCCCCTCCTCGATTCCCACACGTTGGCATCGGCCTGCCCATCCTCTCTCGGACTCTACAGAGGGACTCTCCCTCATCCGAACACTCTTTTGTGTGACGGGCAATGGCTCGGTCGTACTCGCCCACGCCCCAGCGCCACTGGTACCGAATCTCGCTTGGAGTATTTAAGTTTTCGCCAATGCTATCAATGTGTACGAGACCGTGTTAGACTTTATCAGGCCACGTGGAGCCTCGGTCCTGAACTACCAAGGATTTCAGGGCCGAGCCGTTGTGGAAGTGGGCTGCTTCAGGTGGAACTGCTCTTTTGCTCCGTCGAGAGTTCTGGTTGAAACTTTTGAATTCGCAATTTGGCCAATCTATGTCTGGTAAGGACTTTGCACATTTTCGTCCAGATACCAAGCAGGTGATTTGGATACTGGCATTTCCGCTGGGCTCCTCGTAGGCACTCAGGACCTAGTCGTTACCATGGTGTCGTCCTATTCACTTCTTGATTGAACATGGGGACAGACACACGGAGCTTTCGATCGGTGCAGACAGCGACGCTGTCCACCTAATATCCGCTCGAAATGAAGAGCAATATGTGGCTTTTGTTCAAGCGCATGCCCTATTGAAGCAAGTTGACTTGGATCTTTCATTGGCTGAGCTGCCGTTGATTCAGCTTCCACATGGCAGCACAGTAGACTTTGTGACAGCCTCTTCCGAAACCTAGCTGTGTACGATCCTCAATCAGTTCATGACCCGAAAATCACTTGGTTCCGGTTGATTCAGCAGATCGAGCCAAAGTATCTGGATCAATAACATGCCTTGTTGACACGGGGTCAGTATCACAAAAGGTACCAAAGGGAGAGACGACTTGATGTTGTGACCGGGTTGTGTTCACGATTTCTTGGTATGCTTCACATATCAGTGCCCGCGATACAACCTGCTGCACTCTCTCCACTGCATCTAGCTCTACCATCTGACCCTCACTGCGTGTTCCTGTTCACAGTATGATGTTGGAACGGTACGTGCCCTTGGTAACATCGAAGGCATGCGGTGGGTCTGCCAGACGGCAGCTCGGAGCGGAGACGATATGGATTTCTCATCCTTATGTGAAGGACAGTCATACGGAGATAAAACTGTAACAGCCTGTCTAATGACCTGTCAAACAGCCACACCCAGCACCATGCGTCCTGTAACGTGATCTATCGATTGCCTGGTACGGGGGGTTCCCGTGAGCCTTTCAGAACCACTATGCGTCCCCTTGCTGCCTCGTAAACAGCCGGTATTTCTCGCCCAAAACAACCAGATATTTGGCGAGCACCAAGGTTCATGAATCATTTACTCTACACCAAAGCACCATGGTTCTTTTCGCCGCCTCGTTGATCCTGTCTCAGCTTGTCTGCTGATAATAAGCGAATGGCTGTATGTGGTCTGCTACCAAGTCCATGAAGCGGCTAGGCTGAGCTGAGCGTATATGTGTACGACAGGCCGAACAAGGGACGGCGAGTCCGGTCTAGATTCCTCGTTGGCGGCAGCACATGTGCACTTCCGACAAGTCTCCAGCAACCACCGATCATAACGACAGATTCGTCATCTGCTTGGTCTTTGCTTTGACACTGATTCATGACAGCCTCGGGTCTTGATATGCGTCTTTGCAGTAATTACCAATAGACGACGGAGAAAGACCGACCCCCTTCCGCCCCAAAAGCCCCGTTCAGGGAGTACAGAAGGCAATAATGAGCCTTGGATCGCAAGACGTTTTCCGAGTTTGGAGTACAGACGACGAGCATTTGGGACGACACTGACGCCCCTTGAATGCTATACTCCTTTTGCGGGCTTTTTCCAAGCTACACACGTACAGGGTCCTCTGTCCGCTGTACCCTTTGGCGTCTTGTACACGGGCGCCTAGTCGAAGAAGCAATCAACTCACCACTGCTACCGATTGGCAGAGGCGGCTGAAGAAAAGTAACAGAAATGGAACCAAGCCAAAAACAAAACCACACGTCTCGTGGAGAGAAGCAAAATTTGACAGCCGCCACCGACGTCTTTGGGGGCTCCACGTGACTGGAACAAGCAAAAGAAGATGGAGTGCCTAGGCGTTGATGTATTCCTCATCGCCCATGACTATAACACTCAAGGTAACCTTGTCGGCTACCAGCTCTCCCATCTCCACTTCTGTCCTTCTTTCGTCTTCATCGACAACGTTTCTTTTGATGGACTCTCGGGGCCGTTGCCATTGCCATCCATAGTACATCTTTTCTTGCGCGACAGTGTGTCGTTGCCTCTCTTCACATTAGCCACTGCGGCATTCCCTTCAACACCACACTTGCTCACCACCAACCAGGCCTGACCTGACCTGACCTGACCTGGCCCGACTTGGCTTGGGCAGATCCACTCCCAAGAGCCGTCCGCACACCGCCCAGAATGGCTCTCACATTCAAAGAAGCCCAACTGGTGAAGTCCACCATCCCCTTCCTCCGAGAACAAGGCGAAGAGCTCTCGAACCTCGTCTACGGCAACCTCGTCAAGCGCAACCCCGAGCTCAACAACAAACTCAATGTCATCCACCTGCAGGACGGCCGCCTCGCGCGGGCCCTGACCGTCGTCATCCTGCGGTTCGCCTGCAACATCAACGACATGTCGGAGCTGATCCCCAAGTTCGAGCGCGTGTGCAACAAGCACTGCACCGTGGGCGTGCAGCCGATGCACTACGAGCTGCTGGGCGCGCTCGTCATCGAAGCCTTTGAGAGCCTCATGGGCGACGCCCTGACGCCCGAGATCCGCGCCGCCTGGACCAAGGCCTACAGCATCCTGTCGCACATGCTCATTGGCCGCGAGCGCATCATCTACCGCGACTTTGAGCGCGACACGTGGCCGGCCTGGCGGCGCTTCCGGGTCGACCGCAAGGTGTTTGAGGCGGACGGGCTGTGGAGCTTCCACCTGGTGCCGCTGGACGGCCTCAAACTGCCCAGGTTCTTCCCGGGGCAGTATGTCACCATCCGCCTGTTTGTGCCGGCCATTGGGTACTACCAGACGCGCCAGTACTCCATCTCGGACTCGGCCAAGTCGTCCGAGGAGTACCGCATCACGCTCAAGCGCGCCGTGGCCCCGCCGAAAAGCGACCTCGACCCCGGCATGGTGTCGCAGATCCTGCTGGACCGCATCAGGACGGGCGAGGAGATGGACGTCAGCCACCCGTCGGGCGAGTTCTACTACGACACGACGGTGCAGAGCAGCATGCCGGTGGTGCTGATTTCCGCCGGCAGCGGCGTGGCGCCGCTCATGGCCATTCTCAACACCATCACCGAGGAGCAGCCGCAGCGGCAGCTTACCTGGGTGCACGGGTGTCGCTACGACGTGCCGTTTGCTACGCGGCTCAAGGTGCTGCAGCGCCGCTGCCAGAACCTGCGCACGTGTGTGTTCAAGACGGTGCTGCAGAGGGGCGATGCCGTGGCTGGGGCGGCGGGCGGCGGGGCGTTTGACCATAACTGCAGGGTTGACTTGTACAAGGTCGATGCCGATCTGCTGTTTGTTGCCCATCAGTCGGCCGAGTATTACATTTGCGGGCCAGAAGAGTTTATGAAGACGATGATGCAGCAGTTGATTGACATGGGGGTCGACAATAAACGGATCAAGACGGAGCTGTTTGGGGTCGGCAAGATGAAGCTGGACTCGGTGTGTGTGTCTATGGCGCAGTCAGATAGCGGATCGTTCATGTCCCGACGATGAAACGATCTGGATGGACGGAGCGGCCATGGACTTTTACTGTCACGATGACCCAGGGTGCAGGTTCTTGGATTTTTTATTTTTTATTTTTTATTTCTTTTTATAAGTGGTTTTTGGCATTGAGCATGGGCTCAAACACTGTTTCCTTATTGATACCGACATACAAATGCTTCTAATGTTCTTCTTTGCCCATCAGCCAGCCAATCTCATCGTGTGGAGCCTCAGCTATCTGTTTCGTTGCAGATACTACCTACTACCCATGGTGCAACTGTCGACTGCAAAGACCCAGTAGCAAAACATCCCATGCATGAAACCGCTCCAGCTCGCTCACAGTCGCGAACCTCGCAATTGCTAATGCACAGCATCCATTCACTGCGTTGTGTCATAATTTCGATACCCAGCCAATGGAATTCAAAAACCCGTCCGAGACTGCCCCCCGACCCCATCCCCACCAGCCAGCCCGCAAGGCTGAGACCAACTTACACGAGGCTGAGCCCTTTGCGAAGTAGCCGTGACTAAACCTTCCCCACTCTTCTCCAACATTGGCATCTCGCACCAATCGCCATGCAGCGGTATCAATTACATCATTATCGCGCCGGCAAGGGCAGCAGCCTTTTCAGACAATTGCCATCGGGACCTAGATAGTGGTCATTTGGACACGGCAACTTCATGTCCCAAAGAGCGGATACACTGACTGACTGCATGGCGTAGGTTCTCGACATCGCTTCTCAAGACGGTCGGTCCGTTGGCCAGCTGAACACTGAGAGAGCATCTATCGTCTGGAATGCCACTGTCCAGCCACACCTAGCTTCAACCCGCCGACAACTGGAATGCCAATCTTTTTACCAAACCCAGTCAATCACATTCACTGAATGACCCTAGAGCAAACAGAAGACGTGTCCCCCAGCCACAGGCCACAGCTTTCATTGAAGAACGACACATTATATCTCTATCCTCTGTCTTGCGTACGCCTATGCTATTTCCTTTTCCCTTTTTCGTTGTCTTTGGGGAGCAAAGAATGCTTCATCACTTTCCCGAACACGCCTGTGAAAACACCAAGGCGTTCTGTCCCGTCCCGTTATGGTATCTTGAAAAAGAGAGAGAGAGAGAGAAAAAAAAAAAA